TACCATCACGCAGAACCGACGGAAACTGAGCAAGAAGGGATTTTCTAGCCAAATTTAGCCTTTTATAGTTTCATTGTGTCTGTCTCACGTGTCCCTACCCATTTATAATCGTTCCGCATGATTAAAAGTGTTTTAACCAGTTCCTTGTCGTCTCAACGCCAAGGTGAAAAAAAATCTTGACTTACAGTAGGAGGCAAAAGTTTGAGTCCAGTGACTGTATTTCTTTGTTTCAGCAGCATATATTAATATTCTACAGAAAACCTTACCGATAAGTGAACTAGAAAAAAGTAAACAAGTAAACAGAAAAATACATGCTGTACAACAACTATGAGATGTTATGATATTCATTTTTACGTATTTTAATGTGCAAACATGCATTTACATGTCATTGCTTAGTTCCCTCTTTTTTGCTCTTGAAATGACCTTTATTCTTGCTCGCATAGATTCCATAGGTTTTTTAATGTCACACGTTCAATACCTTGCCAGCATTCGTTGACCACTTGCCTCAAGTCAGCCTGGCTGGCGGGTCTGTGCCTCGCCCTCTTCCGGTTAAAACGGTTCTACAAGTGCTCCAAGCCATGACAACGAGATCACCAGAATGAGCTTGCTTCTAAACGATTTCTGGCACATAGAAGATGTGCATGTGCTTAGGGTGATTATCATGTAGTTAGACGTGCGATCATCTTTGTACCAGATGAAATTCCATGTCCTTGAAGAATTGGATGATACTTTTCTTTAATTAGGATCCTATTATATCTTTCAATATTGCCAAACCGAGCATGACCAAAGCAGCTAAAAGTTTGCTTGAGTAGGATTTAGTTTCTTCGAACCTCTCCAAGGTTAGTTGCATACCACCTTTTTAAATTCTCACTTCTTCTGCGATCTTACGAGGAAAGAATCCTTCAATACTTAATGGAACTATTTGTCCTTGTGCACCATCACTTTGCCCTTTTTCCTACCCATCTTGGGCAGTGTAAAGGAATGAGAACTTTATTTTGTTGTAATTTAGATCATTAGGACCAAAACAGTGTGCAATTAATATAGTTTACAGTACTGAAACACTAGCACGCATGTCTTAACTCCAATACGCTGCCAGGATTTAATACTGGAATTCTACAACGACTGGACTCAAACTTTTGCCTCCTACTGTATATGTTTTTATAGGTTATCAAATTTTTAAAAAAATTTTTACTCTGAAAGATTTTGCATTTCAACTTTCAAATCTGCTTCTCTGCCACTTAAAGCTTATCAATTCCAGATTTGACCAAATTTCACATATTTACAATTAACAGCGTTGTGGGTCACGCACTGGACCAAATTCTTTGCATATGTTTGCCCAGATTGGGAATCTCCGGAATCTTTAAAACCCGGAACGAGAGAAAGATGATTTCGGATTCCTTTTTGAGTATAATGTGAGATTTTTGAACGCAATGGCAAATCCAGGGGCCGGTTGTATCAAGCCCGTTTAGCTTAAACGGTGGATAAGTCAAAATTAAATAATACTCTTACAACTCTCTTGAATGAGTCAACTTCAATATTATGCACTGAATTTGTAGTTGTAAACAATAACTTTGTATTAAGGTAAAAAACATTTCGTTTGCTTCTTGAATAAAACGATAGACTTGCTTTCTATTTTGAACTTATCCACCGTTTAAGCTAAACGGGCATGATACAACCGGCCCCAGGACTCTTTACTTTCGATAAATAGCGTAAATAGCTGTTTAATTTCATATTTGGGCTAAAGCAGATCGAACCGACCGCACTCTAAATGTAGGGTATTTCTAGTGTCTAAATTTCCTCCATCAACAAGATCTTTGAAGAAATCTATCCAACCACGAGGAACAGGATTTGCGCATCATTGCCAACCATGCATCGATTCTCTGCGGGTTTCTATAAGATGAGGTACTGATGTGCTTTTAAATCTGAGAAAGAATCCATGTGATAACGGCGTTAAAAACATTGCATTGGTGCCATAATCCCATTTCAGTTCCTCTATCTGTTCGAAGAATTGTCGTACACTGAAACCTCAATTCTTCCACGCAGTCATATAATAAAGTTTGCCCACCACGGGCAGGTTGTATATATGGAAGCCAGATAGCGCTATTCACCATTCTAAAATGCTTTCACCTTTGCAACCAACAATTATTAAAGAGGATCGTTGATTTAGGAATACAAAGATTTAATCAAAGTTATTTAAAAAACGGGCGACTTTGAAGCGATTGAAAAAAACACTATATCTGGTGGATAGCGCTATCTGGCTCTCATATAACCGGCCCCACGTGAGGATCATTATTTGCGGAACAAATTCTAGCTAGACTATCCTCCCGAATCTGTCCATGTATTCGCTGATAGGGAAACCATACAGGTTAACTTTGTCATACCCATTCGCGCACCAGCAATAGTTATAGGTCAATCCCTGTCCACACGTATCCGGATATTTTTAAAAACGGAGGGTTTTTTTATCTTTTTTGGCCTTGGCTCAGCCACACGTAACCGGCGTTTTCAGCAATCGAAAACGGAGGTTTTCAAAAACGCTTCAAAAAAAGTTTCTCGATAACGCTGGTTTCGTGTTTACGCGCGTGGACGGGCGAAAACGGTGGTTTTCGAATTCGATGACGTTGATAGTCGGATCCAGTCTATAACAGCCATTAACGGCGTGTGTTTTGTATCTCTTCAAGATGGTGAACTAAAATTGCTTGGCTGCTCTGCTTTTGACAATTTCATAATTTCAAGTCTAATAGCATGCATTTGGCTTCATGCTACTATGCTAAACCTCCTTGGAGCGAATGAGTATGATGAAGTTGCTTCCCGCCTCACCAGCTAGACAACAAAGATTTGGTCATTTAGTCATTTTAATTCAAGAAAGAGCGAGCATAAAGCGGACCCAAAGTAAATACGCGGAATTGTTTTTAAATTCCGCCAAATTAACATAGTTTTTATCTGCGATCGTTTGGAAGCGCTCATATTACATGAAAATGCGCATACTCCATGCATGGCGCTATCAAATTTCCTACGTTTTAGCGTTTACGTGTGGACGGGCAAAAACGATTCGAATACGCTGCGTGTGGAGGCGAATTTTTTGAAAAACGAAGAAAAAATCCTCCGCTTTCAAAACTATCCGCGAATACGTCTGGACAGTTAATCATACGGTTTTCCCGGCTTAAACTTGTTCAACGTCATGCAAAATAGTTTGAACGACATGACGAGGAACTTGTATATCATATTTTGCATGAACAAGCCTCCACGTTGCTCCATAGCCCAACATTCTGGTACTTCCAAAACGTTCTTGCAAAATACATGCACTGTCGTATTCGGTCACTGTCATATTCTTTACACTTTCTCGGTATGTGCTTCTCGACAATTTATTCGATGAAATTTATCTAATAATTTCAATATTGTTTCATACGAAAAGTTTTTCTTGAAATGACTGCAGCTAAAATAATTCAAAATCTAAAATTCAAACCTGAAAAAAAAATACTTAGGAAAAGAACCTTCTGACAGGGATAAGAAAATGCGAGCAGAGAAGGAGAGTCAAGATTATTTTCAATTCCGCTGTCTTTGTCAGGTTTAAGAATGGCGTATTTCTATCTTAAATCCCTAAGTAACTTAATACCTGTGGTCTCTGTGTTAATTTGTTTGTCGTCAAACGAATATATTAATATTGATTTTCTGATTGTTTGACAAAACGCTGTCATATGTTTAATAACGAATTTAATATTGACTAATGCAAAATAATAGAATCCTATTATTGGTCCCTCATACTTTTCCATGGGTCCCTTGCAATAAATAGAAAGAAACCAAATTCGTTTAATCGAACCGAGGGGTTTCTGCACGCATGTCAGTATTTCTAGTTATTTCGTCAGTTGTTTTTATCTGCCTTCTCGTTCAAACATCGCGCATGCGCATAAATAAAAAAACATCCAACGCCCATGACAGAATTTGGACCTTGAATTCCGCTATGTTCTGGAACAATCCTCGGGTTTATTTCTAAATCTCTGAGCGAGATTAGTACCCACTTGCGGCGCTCGCGGGATATGAACTTTTTAAGCCTGATCTGGCTAAAAATAATACTTGTAATTTGTACGTATGAAGTTTTTTCTATAAAAATGTCCCAAGACGCGACATGTATAGTTCGCATAGCCGTCGACGATGTGACATCGGCGGGTGCACCTCTTTGGGAGAAAGGAACAAACTAGTGCCCAGGTATCGGGAAAGCGTTATGCAAGCGAAAATATTTTGGAATTCGAAATCACTTAATGGTCATAACCCGTTTTAAACCACCTCTTCGTAAGCTGTTGGATAGTACAGCGAACAAGTGGTTTTAGCGGCCTCGTAGGATCAAATATTCATGTTCAGCAATATTAGTTCCTTTTCAAATTGATTGTTTTTACGTTCTGCGATCAATAATATATGAATATACTCTCCCCCCCCCCCCCAACAAACCCACTTAACCATCTTCTGCGGTCCCCGACTGGTTTCTTCTTAAAATTGGAATCATGAATAATTAGCAAGCAAACAGATGATAACAAACAAACAATACAGATCTGTCGCAAGTATTAAATTGCTACACACATAGACAGTAGAATGCCTAGATTAAATATCTAAATACAGAATTAAAATTAAGAAATAAAAACGTTTAAGCATCAAAAAGTCCTAAAAAGTCATAAAAATTAAGTATCTAAGAGTCCTAAAAAGAGGAGTTAATATGTTTCTCCGCGATAAAGTTAATAAATATAAACTAACTATAGACAAACGCCATTAACGAATTAAAAAGGTAACAAATGATGTGATTCATCTTAGAGACTGACAATCAGCCTGGAAAAACTTGGGCTAAAAAGGATGTAATTAATTTAAACAAACTTTGCAGATAATGTGTCTGACGGATGATCCGTCTTTTTACTGGTGTTATTTACAAAGATTATCAGAAAAACTAACAATAACAGAAGAATACTGGTGTTGTTTTGAGAAATATGAGATGCCCAAGAACCCAAATTATTTTATTAACGTTTAAATTGCGACAATCGATGTTGTAGTCTACTTCTCTGCTGTGTTCGTTGTGTCTCGTTGAAAAAAGAATTCCTTATTGCTTCGTCAGCATAAGGTCTATCATCAATCTTGTGACTAATCAGCCACAACACTAACTTTTGAGCTTCGCGGTCACCAAGTTTCTCCAAATTCACAGGATTACCTTCTAAAATATTTTTCATTCGATCTAACTCAGATCCAAAAGGGTGTTCACCTTTAGTTAAGACGTAGAAAGCAATCATACCCGCGACCTGGACATCTGATTTCTTTTTGAAACGACCCTTTTCTTTTTTAACTATTGCTTCAATTACTTCTGGTGGCATCCATCCACGAGTACCTTTAGCATCTGTTTCAATTGTCGTTTCTTCTTCATTAAGAACACGGCTTATTCCAAAATCCGCCAATTTCATGCGACCTTCGATATCAACCAGGATATTTGATGGTTTTAAATCTCTGTGCAATATTCCTTTACCATGAAGAAATGCGAGTCCGGATAAAATTTCTTTAATCATTCGTGGACCATGGTTTCGTAAATATTCAATTCTGGTTGCATCAACAAGTTCCCTCAAGTTTTCTTCGCAAAGATCAACGATAAGATATATGAAATCATCGCCACGGTGAAAATGACGATAGTGCACAATAAATTTACATCTGTTCGTTTTTATGAGACTCATTATTGTCTTTTCATTTTCAACTGTTTTATCCTCACTTTGTACTAAAATTCTCTTAACGGCAACTTCACTTCTATCCTTCATGAGGCCAACATAGACACGTGAACCACCACAACCATCGCCAATTTTGAATTCATTTTTTGCGACAAATGCCTGCATCGGTACTTCAGTCTATGGAAAAAACAACATATTTTTTTTTATCATGAGTATTTTTTTTTCTATCATGAGTAGGAACTAGGGATTCATTTGCCGAGATTTTTCGATACTTTTTTGCAACCTTTGGAAAAGCCTGAAGATTTTTTAATCAGAAAACTGAAATACTTTAAATCACCTTCCAATCACTGAATATATACAATAGGTTACTACGAAAATAAATCGGCACCCCCCCCCCGGAGTTTCCATTATAACTGACTGCATGTCCGACTAACTAACTGATTGATGTAAATTTTCGCCACTTACCCCAATATTGAAAAGTAAAAAAAACTCTAGACAAAATATTTCAAAATATTTTTCGTCTTTACAAGCTAGGCTATTGCGGAAGTGAATATTGAAATAATCTACATTTAAGTTACGAGGTCTATATATTATACGCTATAGGTTCATATATCTCGCTTTATTAAATACACAAGCGCCAGATATGAGGTATGCTGCAATTTCATTGGTTGGCTACTAGACAGATATTAGCTCATATTTGTCTAGTAGAGAAAGTAAAAAAATGGTTGAAAGATTTGGGGAGTTGAGTGAAATAGAAATCCAAGCTTTGGTTGATAATAGCACACCAAAATGCACGGAAAGGGCGACAACGTTTGTGTATATATACGCGCCTCGTCGGCTATCAGCTCATATACGACTCGAGTTCGCAAAATAACTGTTAAATCGTAGCCAAACGGCCTGAACGCTGAAGGATAAATTAAACCTAATTGCTTTAGTCGCAGCCTGGTAACGTAATTTTGATGCCGCTGACTGTCTACGGAATCTCCTAATAACCTTTGTATACTAGTAACCACGCGAACAACTTCATAATTATGTTTCAAATATTACCTTTTCTAACTGGTTACAGTCCGTTGTTTTCAACTTCTGAATTTTCTCACGATGTTTTACGGACCTTTTAAGTGTAGTCGTTATTTCAACATGTCCATGGTAAATACTCCATTCAAGAAGATTCATTTGCCTTCCTTTAACAGTGAAAGTCCCGGATCTCCACACAACGTTCTTTTTCAACAGAAGCTTTATCAAATGAACTGAATTATTTACAACAGCTATCTTCAGGATGTCAAATCCAAGAGTATGAACACTGATTTTACTGTTCAGAGTAACGTCAGCACCCTGCTCAACTAAATACGTGACAATTTCTAATACACAAAAATCGACAGCAGTATGCAAGACTGGCAATCCATTAGCACCTTTACCATTTACATCAGCGCCCTGTTCAACAAGATATTTTACGATTTCTAGGTTATGCATAACAACTGCACTTTCAAGCACTGCCCAACTGTTAGTTTTCTTACCATTTACATCAGCGCCATGTTCAACAAGATATTTCACTATTTCTAGCGTGCCTTTAGTAGCAGCACTGTGCAAGACTGTCCGCCCGTTAGTATCCTTGCTATTTACATCAGCGCCATGTTCAACCAGATATTTTACCATTTCTGGGTTATTTGTAGAAAGAGCGTGGTTCAAGACTGTTCTCCCGTCAGGATCCTTGCTATTTACTTCAGCTCCCTTTTCGACAAGATATTTTACCATTTCTAGCGCACCTTTGGCAACAGCAGTGTGTAGCACTGTCCTCCCTTTACTATCCTTTCCATTTACACCAGCGCCATGTTCAACAAGATATTTTACAATTTCAAACCGAGGTTTCATTGCTATAACTATATAATTGCTCAATACAGCAGCACACACGAATATGGCAAAATTTGTATGCTTTCTGTAGCAGGGTTGTAGTTTATTGAACTTTCAATATAACAATAGAGTTGATATTCGCGGGTATAAATGTGTTTTTGGTCCGATTCGATTTCAAGATGTGTTCTAAACTGAGGAGGGCGGTCAGCATGGGTTGTAACCCAAATATATATATTTATATGTATAACCCAAATATATGTATTTATATTATTTGTATTTGATGTATTTCACAATAAATCTAAATGTGTTATGTGATAGACGACATTATAATTTGATTTATAAACTACGTTTTCATAATGACAAAAAATCAAATCAAAATATTCGCGTGCAAAAACCAGTCGAGGCGTAAAATAAAACTTCAGAAGTTGTATGAGACGTCTCACGTCTGATGTTATATTTCATGCTAAATAATAGTTAAAATAATCTACCATAACGCTGACTAAAGATGAGTAACTTAACTTCGAGAAAAATGTAAAAATCTTGTAAAAAACTTTGATTCTTTAAAAATATACGGCCGTTGCGACTTCCTATGACTACCGTGCTTCCACGCCCAGAAAAATATTTCCAGACTTCTTTTCTCACATACCATGTACTCTCCAAACCCCCAACCCACATAAATTTTCTAACTATCATGTTACCATCCCTATGCTCAACTAATTTCGTTTAACGGAGGCGAGGGGTTGCTGCATGCATATAATTTCTAGTAGTAGGCACTGAAGCGTCACAGCCGGTTTTCTGAAATGAACTGTAATATACCGTATACAGCTAGGGTGTCCCAAAAAACGTCCCCTCTATTGAAATCAAGCCTTTGTTAGAATCTGATTGCTTTAATATTAAGATGAACCCAATTGAATGGTAAGATGCTTTATTTGAATGCCTAAACCTAAGAACTATGCTATTTACGCACTACTGCGTTGATCATGCATTCAAATTCCAACAAAAGCTTCGTTTCAAAAGGGGGGACTTTTTTGGGGGACACCCTGTACAGGATGTACAGGGTGAGTCAAAAAAACCTGACACCTTTGAAATTCAAATTAGCTGCAAACGTATGGCTGGAATATGACAATTCCCATGTACAATCAACAAAAACGATTTGATAAAACTGTTCTTTTGTATTTACAGAGCTTAGAATGCATTTTAACTCCCAATGGGAACAAACTTTATGCTTTAGGTTAATTAATATGATATGCTTCGTATACCTATGAAATATTTAAGCAACTTCAGCCACATTACAGCCGCTATGCGACTAATTTGAATTTCAAAGGTGTCAGTTTTTTTTTACTCACCCTGTATATAAAAAAGAAGACCTTTACAAATTAATCTATTGTTATGCCCGGCCATCAGGCATAACTATGCTAAGCCTATTTATGCATGATGTATAAAATATTGAAAGCTTTGTGCATATATTACACATATCCTTGTTACAAGCATAAAAGCCTTTCTTCATACAACTAAAAATTTGACATAACTTCTAAAAAGCAAAATTATGCACAATAATGCATGGTCAAATCGTTCAGTTTTATCGTCCAGACCTATATCCAGACGTAAAGTACAGCTGTGTTACAAAACGCGTTTTGAGAAAGGTTTTTGATTGAAATCCACCGGTGGAAAGCACAAGCTTGAAAAACGCCGGTGCGAAATTAATGAGCAGTAATATTAATTCGTGACATGCATTAGATTTTAGTCGATTGTTTGCCCACCTGTGGGCTTAGCAAATTGATCAGGGGCCGGTTGTTCGAAAGGTGGATAAGTCGCTATCCAACGGATAGGTTTTATCCAGCGTGTGATTTGCGTTGCACGAAGCTTGGATAACTTTATCCAGCCGATAACACTGAGAACATTTACGATAAAAAAGGACAAAAATGCAATATTCCTGTTACTGTGTTTCAACAAACTAATGCACATGATTGTACACACTATTAAAAACGTTTTCGAAGTGCAATCCAGCCAATGTTTATATATTTGTCGCAGCAGCGTTTCACGTTGCCTACGGCAACACATTCCGTTCCGAGCGGCGATTTTTTTGGACATCCTCACATTGATAACAGGCGGTAAATTACTATACGCTTCTAATCAGTTTATAAAAAGCGATTATGCAAAGAAAGATTCAACCTATTCCAAGGAGACTTGCTAATATTTAAGTAATTTCACTCACGCAATAGACAAGTATAGACAACAAGGCTACGAATTTTGTTCTCCGCCAGGTATTATAGCCAACCAAAACATTAAAATAGTGTTCCTAAATTTGTAATGGAACCGAAAGGCAAAGCGTCGCAAGGTCAAGGAATAAAATTGCAATGTGCATATTTAATAAAATCACTATTATGTGAAGTGCAAAGTTTTTTCCATTCTGTAACTACTCGAGACTTCGTAATGATTATGAATTAAAATTTATAAATGCCTAGCAAAAGCAACAGCTGACGTTGTGGTACGAACTTCAAGATAATCCTGTTTTCTCCTGGTAAATTTTAACTTATCTATTGGATAGCTACCCATCAACTACCCATGCTTCGTGCGACACGTTTTTATCCAATAGATAACTATCCACTGGATAGCAGATTTATCCGCTGGATAGGACTTATCCGATGGATAAGTTATCCATCTTTCGAACAACCGGCCCTAGGCATTTAAATTATAGCAATAGTTTAATTTCTAAACTTAAAAGGTCTTCTTTTTTATACACTCTGTATTATACAAAAAGTTTAAAGACAATAGACAAAAACTGCGTGTATATACAAGACGAAATGGTATGCGGCTCAAACTTATAGATAAAGATAGAGTGTATGAAAGAGAAAGAAGTTATATAGTGTGTGAAATATTAGCAATGTTAATACATAAACGGAACAGGAGAATAATTTATTTCGAACATTAACTACGGTGAAGCAACTGACTAACACAGGACCATTTACATTTGTGAACGGATATTACACACTTTTATAATCCATAACATTCTAGACTCGAAGTGGATGTCATGTATATGCAAACAAATGGTTTGTTTGCATTTTGAACTTCGATAATTTTTAAAATACCATGTGCTGTGTGAATATCCAACAACATTTAGGTTCGCTATACGCTGCTAAATGAATATATGAACTAGTGTTTATGTTCAGATCTATAGAAGCCAATTGACAAAGAGTGCATGGACCTTAATCGTAAAATTAATAGTCCTTAAGATTTGAAATAGCTAGACCTCTGCGGTAAAGATGAACGCTGCTGTCGTTGATATACAATTCACATAGTATCTCAGTCACACACGAATGCAACACACAACACTTCGCACAAATATGTTCCTCGTCTGGATCATAATAACCTGACTGCTAGGCGCTTCCGAATCGGTGTCGTGTCGTGCTGAAGTAAATAACTGTGCTATAATCTATTTACTTACCTTCGATGGTTTATGTCCTACATCATAATAGCGTCGATCGATACAGCACCAAAACCGAAACAAATGTATTGGATAAAATTCCTGTCATCTACGACAAACCAAATTGGCAAAGCTAATAAATTAATAATCTTCGAAGAAAACAATTATTACACAATCCTAATGCAATCTCGATTGTGATTGGCTAAAAACCTACAAATAATTCTCAATGCTTTGCCACCTGCACGAAATTGAAAATTACCCGTAGGTGACTTAATTTTTTGCCGCTAGTTTGTTGTCAATAATGGCACAGGCTTCTACTCTAAAAAAGAAATGCATAATAAAACAATTATTGAATTCCGATAGATGACACGTGTAACATTGCGAAAGACAGGCTGCTCTCAGATGATACGCTGTCTAAAATGTCTAGCCTTTCTTCCGGAAGTATATATGAACTACTGAAATTGTGCTTGAATACAACTAATTTTCAGTGGCGTGAGAAATGCTAGGTGCAAACACCTTGTGCTCCTATGGGTAGTCCTTTATCACCAGTTATGGCCTATTTATTCATGGAAGAATTTGAAAAGAATTTGAATTTCTCAATTTCTTCTGCGAATGTCTTACGGAATTTGTTTCAGTTTCGAAGTTGTTAATGGCCTTCTCAACGCTGTATCATTCCCAATACAAGCGGACAGTTTTTACTTGCAATATAAGCGGTCAAGCAACTGGTGGCATTTTACCAACATAGAGAAATTTAATTACCCTCATGAAGGCCCGGTTTAACGGACTGAAAGCTTTGCAGTATTAAATACTTACGTGGTGTACCTACAAACTAACTAAACTAATTTATTTATTTAATTGATGTCGCCATGTATGCAAACGTACAAGAATATTATAAAAAATTTGCTCAACTTGACTTCTCTTAAAAGAAAATATGCATATATATCGCTGGCTAGCATTTCTCTGCAGGAGGAAATCCAGCCGAAGCCAACATACTGTGCCAGAATTGTGGCTAATTGCTTTTAATTGCATGATAATATTCAAAGAATTCTGGTCTTTATAGTTAAATAATGTTGTGAGACTTCGTAATAAATAAGGGTTTTTCTTCGTTTTCTGGTTTCTTGTTTTAAGTGAGTGATCATCACAGCAGCAATAACAAATGCCACTGACGACAGCGGAGATAGTCAGCGATGATGGTAGGTTTGTTAGAATGTAGATTACAAAGATCTTTATTTAACATATCGTCAATGTTGTAGGGTATAAACCATTCAAGGTAGGAAATTGATAAATAACTTTGTGTAATATCACAGTAATTTGTTTGAGTAACGACAGTTTTTAGAAGCCATAGGAAATTTTGTGAAATGCAGCGCATTTGTGCGAGGATTGTGTATCAGTGTATGGTCTAATTACTTAATTCAACACGGCCTTTATCGATTGCTACGCTAGACGAATTTTATACGAGTGACTTGGGCAATGCTCACGCTAAACTTAGAGATCTCGATCTATCTCACCAAGAATCAATCTGCAATGGCTATCCTGAGGAACGCGCGCTAAATTGATGGGTTCATAATTATTCGCAAATTCGTAGCTGTGTGACTGCCGGATTTCATTCAAAAGCGAATGTTGTTACGGTGATTGAAAATGCATCATTATACAACCACAATTAAGCCTGGTTTCCATTTAATCGTAAATGTGTCGTGAACAAGTGATTTTAACCGCTGACAAAGTTCACATATAAATTTATCTTGTTGGCTGCACATGCACACATAGAAATACTCAGTACCTCAGCCTCCATGGCATGTTCACGACACTTGATTAAA